GGGAGCACTATTATTATTGTTATTATCATCACAACAAATACAGTTGCCTTAAACTTCTAGGCTGGCAAGTTTTTGTTTTTTTTAAGGGTGTGTATTTAATACACGCTTGTCAGAGGTAACAGGCTCTAACTGCCTTCCTTGTTGTTTGAACTTTGTAACTTGTTCAGATCATAAAGGTGCTTAATAGAATTCTATCCTATTCTACCAACATGAGCTTGTAAGTTCTTTTGAAGAAACACAGCATATGACATAAATCTACCATGTTAATTTAACAAAAATGAAAAAGCAACAAGGAGTGTGGGTCTAGGAATCTGGCAGACAAAGATCCATTCAGGTTCATTCATAACTGAAGCTAAACCCATGGAATCGAAGAAAGCAATTCAGGATTGCAGGCTGCTCTCATTCCCACTCTGGATAATCTTTACATGGGAAAAGCTGACCACATAGCATCTGCAGACCCCAGCCACGTCTGCAGTTGAGGCTCCCTTATGCCATCAGTCCTGTGTACTGGAGGAACCTCCATGTTCAGTTGCCAAGCAGCCTAGCACGACTCCCTAGGGAGTAGAGAAAATGGGCCAGCCCACCAACCACTTCTGTTCACACTCACTTGGCTGGAGGTGCAGAGGGCAGGCCCGCTCTGAGCCAGCTGGCCTCTTCCCACATGCCAGCCCAGCAAATAGGGACCAAACTGCCTAGTTTCTGTTCTCTGTGGCTATGTGTTCCCCAGTGCAGCTTCTGGTACAAGCAAAGGCAGCTGGCACAAACAGTCCCTCAATCCTGTTCTTGATATGCTGTTGCCAAAATTCAGTTTGAAGAAATAAAAGGCAAACATAAAACTCAGCTCCTGCTGGAGAAGTTGTTTAAGCTAAAAGAAACCAAAGGGACTGAGCAGCTCAACTGCTCTAATTTACTCACACATTCCTGCTGTCAAACTGTGGAAAAATATCCCCCCTGGAAAAAAAAGAAAAGCTCTTTAAGGTATCTGTCAATTCATTTCTGAAAAGTCAGCTTCCTTACTTGGTGATTCTAAAAAAAAAGGACAGTGTCAGGAGCACTAGATTGGTGACATCTTTCATTGTTAGTAACGTGGATGCTGGCTGGGTGGGTGAACAGGCTGGCAATAGAGGTACCCGAAACTTAGCTTAATTCCCATTTGTCTGGAACAGGGGCTCTTCAGCTTATCAGTGCTAAGGACCCCTTCTGCCATCTGCTGAAGCCTACAGAACCATCACAAAGTGACATACATATCGCAGAAAATAAAATATATGAAATTATAAAGGAAACCAGTAACTGAAATACAGTTTCACACCTGACTTATGATAGCTCAACACAGGATTTTTTTGTTTTGCCATGGTGCAAAAGCATATCCATACAACCATTTTGTTTTTCATTTTCAGTGCAGTAGTCGATAAATTACATGGGCTGTTCAATAATTTATTATAAAATTAGATGATTTTGCCCAGCTGAGCACATTGAAGGTAGGCTATCTACATTTGGTAGGTATGTTAAATACACTGTTACTTATAATATTTTCAACTTATAATGGTTTATTGAAACACTGTTGTAATTTGAGAATCAACTGTATATTTAGCAGAATAAAAATGAGAAATGAAATAATAAGTATGCTCCTTTATGAACATGTGGACAATAAAACCTAGTGGAAGTTCTAAAAGCCATATTTGTTTTTTGTTTCAAAGTGATAACAAGTACAAATGCCACTTCCTGAGGTCTCTACAGTGACATGGAATGGTCTCTTTGGGTGATAAAATCACAGGAGCTCATAATTCCTATGCTCATAACTAAAGGGAACACCAAATTCCATTAATGAAAATGAAATGCAACATTTTTCTCATCCAAGTTTACAGACCCTGAATTCTCTCCATGGACCCATCTGTGGACACCAAATTAAGACAACACTGCTTTCTTAGGCATTGGGAGACTAAGGGGCTGGGTCCTCATCCTGGCTGTACTTGCAGTTACAAGGCACATCCTTCTAAGTTCTAAGCCAGAGAGTGTGTGCAGTCTTGCCTGGAGGCCTCTGCCCAGGCAGCTCTCTCTACCCCCTCTCCACCACCTGGCTAGCTCTAGTTAGTCCTTTAGGACACAATGGATGGCAACCTTACCCCTCCACCCCCCGACTCAGGAAGGTCTTAGCTTTCCAAAGACTGACAGAGGACACAGGGATTCTCTGTCTTCTAAAGTGCCCTGTGCTCACCCTATTATTGATCTTCTCAGCTGTGGTACAAAGACCTGCTTATGCCATCTGTCCCTAGTCCTGTGTCTTCTAAAGCAGCAGTAATGCCCATCTACCATTGTGTTCCTGTTGTCAAGCATAGGGCTTGGCTCATAGAAGGTCACTGATACATACGTATTTACTGAATGAACAGATGAATGGATGAAAGCTATGGCCACACCCAGCCTATTTTTCTCTCTCATTGCAAAAGTATTCCTTATCTTACATCAGTGCTTCTCAATCCCGGTTATATATGAGAATTACTTTTGGAGATATTAGACAATGCTGAGACCCAGACTGAACTCTTGGAGATTTACATTCCAGTACTCTGAGGTGGGTATTTAAAAAAAAAAATCCAGGCACAGCCAGGATCAAGAATCTACAGTACTACGAGAACAGTGGCTGAGGTTAGAGCACCATGCTCCCAAATAAACTTCTTTCCTAGACCCAGAAAGATGAAATTAGTGCCAATTCTGAACCCTGCAGGAGCTAAACACATAAATTGAGTTTCTGACCCTCAGAGTCAGGTCACAGTTCTGAATCCAGCAACATCAGTGATAGCTGAACTATACTCTCAGACTTATTTGGAAAAATCTGGGGCTTAACAATGAAATGATGAAACAAGTTGCAAAGCCCACAAGCAAGCACACTGAGGTCCCTGTTCTCTTCCCACTGGGCAAGAGATCCAGAGACAAAGGGATCAATTTTAGGTGACAGTCCATCTTTTAGGTGAGGATTTCCAGCTGTGTGGTTTCCTCCTCTACAAGGTGGAAATAATGATACAATGCCAACCTCAAAGTACTGTTACAGGAAATAAAGAGGTAATGGAGACAAAAGCATTTTGTAAACCACCAAACATGCATGCTACAAGATTAACTCTTACTGCATTCTACTGACTGAGCTCCTAAAAGCCTTCATGGACCAGTGACTTGCAATGTGATTTTAGAGCTGGATTGCTTGAGTTCAAATTCTGCCTCTTCCTCTTATCAGCTGTGCCATCTTAGCAAACTGTTTAGCCTCTCAGTGCTTCAATTCTCCATCTGTAAAATGGTGAATAATGGCACCTACGTCAGGGGTTTTGAAAGGTTTGGCTGAGCTAATAATGTACTTAAAGTGTCCAGAACTAGAACAGTGGGTCTTGCACCTCAGCTTGTATCAGAATCACTTGGAGGATATGTTAAAACCCTGATTGCTAGCCCTGACTCCAGAACTTTTTGATCTACTTACTCTGAGCATGTCTAACAAATTCCCAGGTGAAGTGACATTGCTGTTCTGGAAAATGACACTTTAAGAGAACCACTGGCTTAGAACAATGCCTGGCATACAGTAAGCATTTAATAAATGTTAATTGTTATTTTTTTCTGGACTCTATTTCCTTAGTCCCTGAGCAAAACACTTTATGCTCCAGTGCTACTGAGTGATGTCTTCATGTAGAAGTAGTTTTGAAATCTCCTACTGGCAGCAGTTCTTAAAGTGTGGACCTCAAATAAGTAGTACCAGTGTCACCTGAAGCTTACCTCAAGTGCAAATTCTTGAGGCTCAACCAAGACCTCCTGAATTAGGAACTTTGGGGGTGAGGCTCAGTTATCTTGTGCACTAGCAGTCTCCAGGAGATTCAAATGTGCATCAAGTTTGAGAATTGCTCACTAGAAAGCCACCATCACCAAACCTCACTAAAAATACAAGGAGGCGGGAGAGCTGAAGATCTAGAGTATAGTTTTGGTTGACTGGAGTCTAAGACCTGGCTCAGTTACTCAGTCATCATAAGGCCTTAATTAAGTTGTGAAATTTTTTTAAACTGGTGTATATTAAATTGTACATAATAAAGGTTTTCATCATGATATTTTCATACATGTACCTAATGTATTTTGATCACGTTCACCTCTTCTATTATTCTTTCTTATTCCCCACTTCTTCCCTCTCCCTTTTCTTTTCCTCTTCCACCTTCCTGGTAGTCCCACTTTTACTCTTCACTGACCTTGGTTATTTTCTTTCTCCCTAGCTTCTATAAATGAGAGAAAATATTTGATATTTGTCTTTGTGGAACTGGCTTATTTCACTTAACATGACAATCTCCAGTTCTATCCGCTTCCCAGCAAATGATGCTATTTCATTCTTCTTACTGACTGAGTAAACTCCAATGTTTATATATACTACATCTCCTTATTCATTCATCAGTTGATGGGCACCTAGACTGTTCTATAATTTGGCTATTGTGAATGGTGTTGCAATAAACCTGGGTATACAGGTGTCTCTACAGTAAGCTGAGATTGATCACATGACAATTTTCTTTTTAATTTTTTGAGAAACCTCTATGGTGATTTCCACAGTGGCTAGACTATAGTTTATATTCCCACCAGCAGTATATAAGGGTTCATCTTTCCCTCCATTTGTTGTTTGTTTTCTTGATGACAGCCATTCTGTTTGGTTGGTTATGACACTTCTTTAAGCATCAGTTTCCTCATCTATAAAATGAGCACCATTCCAGGACTTACCTCATGGAGACCTGAGATGATGCACATGAAAGGGCCTGCCACATACTTCCGGTTCAAAGCCATTATAGCTTACATACATTACAGCTGCCATTATAGTCTTTATAATTGTTACATTTGTCCTCTCTCAGTGTGATTTTTATATTTATAACAAAGACAATAATAAAAAATAAAATTAAAAAATAAAACTATCATACACAAAAAGCAAAAACAGTGAGGGTTGAAAACATAACTACAATGGCCCTCTAAATTGGGCTCTGAACTTCTGTGGGGCAGAGAGCAAAAGGTGAAATGCAGAGGCTACATGGCTTCAATTCATTGAAAAAAAGGAAGGAGACTGGCTCTTCTGAAGAGACAACACTGTCCCTTGTCACATCAGCTCCAAATCCCAGGAGGATCTGATTATTTGAATTGCTGCAAAGGTCCAGTGCAACAGGGGGAATCTCTGCCAGCAATGTATCATGTACCTGTTTCTTTAATTCACTCTTAAAGCAGAGACACAGGCAAAATCCTTAGATGTCAAAAGATGAGAGACGTTACACTCACTTTGGGTGCCGGATATCAGGAAGAGAGCGATTCAGAGAGATTTTATCACTGACGTAAATGTTAAATCCATTTTCTCGGTATGCCTGGTCCACTCTCTCAGCATCGGTCAAGGGATAAGGTCTTCCTTGTTCTCCATTTCCTAGAGGCAAAGATCAAATTCAGTGTTGCTAAGTACCTGGCCTCTATGGGGTGCTGTGAATGGAGAGGAGAAAGAAGGATGGAAAGTGTGAGTAAACCACAAAGAGAAAACTTTGTACTTGGATACAGGGCATACCTCCAGATTTTGCAGGGAGAAGTGAAGGGGGTACCTAGTGCTTATTTAGTCATGGTCCTGTCATGTACTTTACTGATACTCTCATGTGGACATGAGAGCTCTCATTCTACAGACAAATAGACTGAGACTCACAAAGGTCATAAAACCAGGTGTGTGGGTTTGGGCTCTCAGGAGCCCAAACAGCCCTGTCCTCTGAGTCCAGGCCTACTACATCTAAGCTGATCAACCTTAAGCATGTCACACTGGCTCTCTGATCTACAGACATAAATTTGAGGAAATATGGTTACACTCTAAGTGAGGCAAACTTTATACATAAGTCAACATTTCCCTAAGTGATAAAAGATGCTTTGTTTTTTTTTAAGCCAGCAAACAAATTAAGAGCTGTCTCCCCAAAGCCAGGATTGCCTGAAAAGTGTTGCTCTGGTCACATATTTGGGCTGATGAAGTGCTATTTTTCCTCCTTGCTGCATAATCCATCTGTGAAAGAGTACTGATGCTTCAGAAAAGTATTCTCTTGGTTCCCAAGGAGCCTGTGGTGACTGGAAATTGCACCACACCCCCTGCAAGGGTAGCCCAAGTGAGTCCTGTCAAGATGGACACACAATCAGGTACTTAAAAGCACTGTGCCCTCTGGATCTGATGGTTTCAACAACACCCTAGTTACTCTGCAGAGTACAGCAGACCCTGTACTCTATATTCATGGGTAGCTGGTTCTAATGAGACCACTGTTTAGGAAACGCCACAACTGCTCAGTATGCAGAGTTCAGAACTTTACTGTTGATGCTTGATTCATTTTTCTCATATGCTACTCAACTTCCACTAAAACAGAAGGTGATGATTAAGAAGGAAACAGTGCAAGATGCCTGGCAGTCAACAAATACTAGCTATTCTTCTTCTCCTTCTCCTCTTCCCCCTCCTTCTTTTTTTTTTTTTTTGGGACAGCATCTTATTATGTAGCCAAGGCTGGCCTTAAACTCACAATCCTCTTGCCTCAGCCTTCTGAATGTTGAATTACAGTAATGAGCCACCATGCCTGGCTTATTATTCTTCTTAAATGTCTACACTGCTCTTTCCTTGCTGGTTAGCCCAACATTCTCATAGTTCTGGTACAAATGTCTGGCAAATCAGCTCACTGAAATGTTTCTTTTTTTAATGTAAAGCATTGCCCCCTTCCCCTTCATTTCAAATCATTGGTATACAGAGAAATGCATATCATGACTTTTGTTATGTTAAAAAAATCAGTTAAATTATGATATCAGCTCTCTTTAGAGCCTTGTGGTAAGCTGAATTTGTCATAACATAATTTTTGAAAAGTCAACACTGGGGATGCCTTTAACTGAGATCAACACTAATGAAATACCAACCCCTTATATTTCTACAGTGCTTACCAGTATAGCGAAGCTATGTCACACCCATCATACACCGCAAGGTTGTCTAGTCAGGAAGCATGAGTTCCACTAACAGATGGGGAGACTGAGGCTCAGGGAGCATGGACTCTATCGGATCTCATGTGATGGCACATGGCTGGTAAAGTGGCATCAGAGCTGCTCTCCTAACTCCAATGTCCAGACTCTGTAGAGATGATTCTCATATCCTAGCTCTAACAGGAAAGGTTCCAAAGACTAACTAGCCAAAGAAAACTTCAGCTGAATCCTGCTAAATCAATTCAACCTTGTGGCTGTGGTGCTGGGTAGAGACTAACTCTACCTTCCAGACATGGTCCAAGGCCAAGCTGGCCTCATCCTCACTATGTGACTGCTGATAGATTACTGCGCCTCTCTGAGATATAGGTCCCCTCTGATTCAGGTGCAGGACATGGACCTTGCTCACCATAGGTGTTCCGTAGGTGCTGACTTTCATTATTGTTCCTTGTTTTAGTGGTAAAGATCCTACATGGTGGAGACATTTTCAATCACCCAACAAAGGTGGCAGGGCAAATGCATCTGGTAATGTGAGTAGAGAAAGAGGTTGGAACAGGTGAAAGAAGAGGGCCCAGGAACCACAGAGAGTGATGATGGCCAACAGGGAGGAAGTCAATAGGAGGTCTAGACAACCCTGCACACAAACATGCACACGTGCATATGTTGCACAATGCCCAGACCCTCCAGGAACCTGGCCATAGACAGTCCTGTCCTTCGTACCTACACGCTGAGCATCCCTTTTGATTGCCTCCTTGTCATGCCAGTCCTTCAGCTTCTGCCCATCTCCCAAGAAAGAAGTCTTCTTTTGCCGACTGTGTGAGCCCTTAAAAAAAAAAATACAAAAGCTGTGAAAAGGAAAAGGGGAAATAACGTCAGTGACACAGCCCCAGAAGCTACACAGCCCAAGGGAGCCTTCAGTGTTCACTGAATGTCTGTCATCATTTGTCCATCCTCACGATATCTTTGTCAGTACCTGCCACGTGCCAGAAGGGTTTGCAAAGTTCAGAAACAGAACAGACGCTCAGTGTCCATGCTTCAGAAACTCAATAAACATGCAAGAGAGTAAAAAGATGGGTACATTCTTCTCACCCAAGGGAGAAAGCGTTAAGTATAGTGTTGCCCAACAGAAATAAGATGTGAGCTGGATATGTAATTTGAAATGTTTTACTTTCCACGCTACAGAAAGAAAAAGATGTTTTTAGGCATGTGGTGGCATATGCCTAAAATCTCAGCACTTGGGAGTTTGAGTCAGGAGGTTCGAGGGCTCAAGGTCAAGCTAGCTTAATAGCAAGACCCTATCACAAAAAAAATTCAGGTGCAATGGTTCATGCCTATAATCCCAGCTGCTGAGGAGGTGAACATCCAGAAGATTAAAGTTCCAGGCCAATGCAGGCAAAAAGCAAGACACCATCTCAATCAACTAACCAGGAATGGTTATGCGTACCTCTAGGTAGGAGAATCTTGGTCTGAGGAAGGTCCTGTGCAAAAATGTGAGACCCTACCTGAAAAATAACTAAGCCAAGCTGGGAGTGGTAACTCAAGCTATAATCCTAGCTACTCAGAAGGCAGAGGTTAGGAGGGTAACAGTTTAAGGCCAACCTGGGCAAAAAGCTTGTGAGACCCCCATCATAACAAATGGCTGGGTGCTATATGGGAAGCACAAATAGAAGGATCTCTGTCCAGGCCTGCCCAGGCATAAAGTGAGACCCTATATCAAAAATAACCAACACAAAAAGAACGAGTAGAGTGGCTCAAGTGGTAGAACACCTCCTAGCAACCTATGAAGCCCTGAGTTCAAAGAAAAGTTGGGGGAGGGGGAGGTGGCATTTAGTCTTCAAAATCTAGTGTATATTTTATAAGTATGTTTGTCTCCATTCAGATCCATTTACAATGCTGTAGAGCCACAGGAGGCCAATGGCTACACACTGCACTGGGCAAGGGAAGTGACTCTTAGATGACCAGTCCAGAAAAAGCGCTACATGACCTATGCCCAGGCTGTCTGCTCTGCCTGCCTCTCTTTTCGCCTGAGAGCCCTTAGAATCCTACCCACAGACCTTAACAAAACTTGTGGCCAATTTTGGCTGGTTCAGGGCTCTCTGAGGTCCATTCATGGAATTTCTGGAGACAGTGCAGATTTAGAGACTCCAAATCATTTAAACCATCACCAAATGGTCACTGGTACCTGCTCTGGGCCAGGCAGTGTGCTGGGCTCTCAGAATGCAGGCAAGGTTACACACATCCTGTGTGGTACTAATGGGCTTTCCAGCCAGACCAGTCTGTCTCAAAAGGTGGTTTTGGGGAACCTGAGTCCTCATTATAGATGCAAATTCTCGGGCTCCATCCCGAACCTACTAAATCAAAGTATCTCAGGACAGGAGCTCAAAAAGATGTGTTTTTTAATAAACACAATTCCAGTTCATAGTAAACTGGAAACCACTTGTCTAAATTCAGCAGCTTTGTTTTACAAATATGGAGTCTGAGGCTGAGTAGCACAAACTTGCCCCAAGTCCTATAGCTTGTGAGCCCCAAAGATCAAACCAGATCTGACTGTTCTCTTCCCAGGATAGGCTGCTGAGTTTCTTGAAGATAGGGACATGTCTGTTTTGACTTATCAATGTGTATTCCAAGGCCAATACCTAGCTCATCTTAGGTCCTTGATAAATTCCGGATGGATGGATGGACGGATGGGTGGATGATTGAGGCAGGTGGCTTAGTTTAACAACTCAGAGCATTCTGGTTTGAGAGTTGGTAAAAAACCTACACTTCATATTCTGGGCTGGTGGACCCCAGTTTCTCTGACCAATAAATAGGTAAAACTATCAATAACGGTATCAACTCCAAGGATCTTATGGGGATTAACTGAGCTAATCTATACAAGATAGTTCAGTGTCTGGAACAGTGTCTTTCTGTAAGGGAGAAAGTTTATGATAAACAGGTATGTCCTAGCGTTTGTGATGGCCATGTTTGGAGGAACAGGAGAGGGAATGGGAGTCTAATAACACTGTGGGCCCTGCAGAGGCAACCTATTTAATATCTCACCCAATTCAACTGGCTTTTGCTGATAACAGGATTTAGAGTGCTTTCTCATTGAGGAGATGTCAATGCCCATGTGGAAACCTAGTGTTCTTCAAGGAAAGGAAAAGTTCTTGCTACAATGGAAACAAATTGCCACAAGACGTTTTACAACAAGAAAGGCACAGGCAATGCTTCTCAAAAGACAGCAATTCTTAAGAAATACCAATCACTTTATATTATGTAAAAGAACATGTCTGGATTTTCAATTCAGAGGTAATTTGAAGTTTAATTGTAGACTCAAAGATTTGTCTATGAAAGCTATTTTTTTCCCTTCTTTTACAACTATCTTTTGCTGTTTTTCTTCCCCTTGATTTCCAGAATGTCCTTTTGCTACATGAGGCAAAGAAGTTTGGAAGGAGAATGGCAAGAGAAGTCAGTTTATGGAGGAGGCTGGCAGGATTAATGTGGAAATCACATTAAACAATAAATTGGAAAGATTTTGACTGGCTGCTCTAAATAATTGCCTCTGGTATCTGGGTGTCTACACTTAACATTTCACTAAAGAATTGATTAGTGTTCAAACAGCCACACACACACACACACACACACACACACACACAAATGGAATGTTAATCTTTGTTTAATCACTATTTAGTGTGCCTGGCACCCTTTGGAGAGAGGAGAGAATGGTGGTGAAGCAAGCCAAGAGTATTCTGAGTGAGAAAAAAGATTTGTTAAAGTGCACGCTCTTGTCCCAAGACTTCAGACTTGGCAGAGTTTGCTCAGCAAGGACATTTGCACCTCTGGCCAGGTTAGATGATATCTTCAAAACAATAAAAAGCTGGAACGAAAATGGAGCAGGCCATGGCTGTCAGGCGGGTCTGAGGTTGTATTACAGATCAGATCCACCTGGATTATAGGATACTCCTCCCCCTTCCTCTCAACTAATCCAAAAGGTGCTGGAATGATTTTGCTTTGAGGCTTAAATCACTCTATGTAACTACAAACATCTAGTTTTCTAGTCAGTAGATTGTTTTAATAACCTCCTCCCTCCACAGAAATGTACATGTACATTCTTATACACACATACACCACACTCACACACCAAGCAAAATATTCTCTTCAAGGTTACCTTGAAGACTCTGTGCCAAAAGTATAGAGTTACTTTAAGCAAGTAAAGTTTATTTTAAGCAAGTAAAGGAACTTGGACAATTGGGTAAATGTACTTTCTTCATGAGTTTTGAGGACATAAGCTGGATTGTTTTTATTCATCTGGCAAATGATTATTGAGGGCCTATTATGTCTGAAGAATTGTGACATAGTAGATAATGACAGTCTTTGGCCTCAACAACTAGTATAAACATAAGCACATAAGAAAGAAAAGCTCTGAGATATAGCTCAATGTTAGCACACTTTCCTGGCATGCATGAGATCATGGTTTCATGCATTGGACATATGAAAAAACAAAAATAATCACACAACACTTTAACATGGTGCCTTGAAAGTTGTACCGATAAATTCTATACTTATTTCCAAGAACCAAAAATTAAAGTCTACCCCTGGACAATCAGGGAGGGATTCCTATAGCAGAGTTTTTTAAAGAAGCCTGAAAGAACAAGGTGTCACCACAGGGACAGAATCCTGGTGGGAGAAAGAACGTACAATGACAGGGAAGCTAGAAGGTGAGAGACATATTTACTTAATGGAGGGAATGAACAAGGTTCAAAACAGAGTAACGAGCTTTACACAAGAGGAGGTTTGAACCAGAATAAGAAGGCCTTACACTTGAGCTGCATGGCAGGTGGGAGCAAGGAATGGGTTGGAGTAGAGCTCTAAGAATAAGATATGTTATCACTTGTCCATTTTTTACTAATTTTGGAGTCCTCCTCCACTTGTGATAGATATAGTCAGAAAGACAATTTTGTTTTTATTCTGAGGAAATGTTTCCTGTTCGAAGCTGAGGACCACCCTTACTCCATCTCCCATAAGTCAGACTTACAGGAGGCTGATGTAATTTCAGCCCCTCCCAGCCTGCTGTTTTAAGAAAACTTTTCTTTCAATTCAATCAGAACCAAGTGGCATGAGAAAACAATCAAACCTAATGAGTACTATGTATGAATCAAAGGAGACACTATAACCTAGCAATCACGAGACTAGACCTGCTGGGCCCATATCAGGCAAGTTCTGCTGTTCCAACCAACCAGAAATTGAATTGGGCCAGTTTACTTCACTTCAGTAACTGTTGTTTCCACAACAGGATGTTGGGATCTCACATCTGAATGGAGCCCATTCCCTAAGACCGGAAGGTCACTCACAAATAGGAGCCTCTGCTTAAAATGGCTGATTTTGTGTTCCCAAAGGCAGAGCCATACCACCCATCCAATTTACTCTTTGTTTTGTATAGATGGCTCTAGAAAAGGTTACTTGCTATGTAAGGTATGAAAACTCATTAAAAGACTTTTTAAACAGTAGGGAGAGAAAAAGCCAAGATATCTGGGAATGTCTGTTATCTAAAAGGCAAATGGAATCTTCAATAACTTTTTCCTTCCATTCTAAAAGAGCAATCACAACAATTTCTTTTTTCTTTTTCATTTCTTTCTTTATTCTTAGAGCTCATGAAATAAAATGTTTTTATTCCTATATCCTTAACAGAGTCTCATTAAGTAGCCCTGATGGCTTGAACTCATGATCCTCCAGTCTCAGCCTCCTGAGCACTGGTGTTACAGGTGTGTGCTAATATAGCAGGCAACAATTTCCTCAGAGTAAGGATCCAAACGTTTCATCATGGGGGAAAAATATCAACTCCTC